TTATACTTGTTGGATGCTCCTTTGTCACCTCAAGCACATTCAGCTTCATTTTCAAATATTGTTTCATCTAATAAAGCCCAACTTATGCATTGACACATGCGTTTAGGACATACTTCTTTCGGTTATTTAAAACATTTATTTCCTTCCTTATTTTGTAACATGGCAGTGTCAGATTTATCATGTGCGACATGTCATATGGCTAAACATGTTCATTCCAATTATCCTACTAGTAGTAATAAATCTGCTTTAACACCTTTTGATCTTATTCATTCATATTTTGGGGTCCTTGCCCAGTTATTTCTAGTCTTGGATTTCAATATTTCGTGTTGTTCATTGATGATCATAGTCGTGTTATATGAGTTTATCTTATGAAAACCAAAAATGACGTATACCCAATTTTTAAAAATTTTATGACAATGGTTCAGACTCAATATAGTCGTACCATTAAAAAATTCAGATCTGACCAGGGTACGGAGTACACTTATGGGGAGGTACAACGGTTATGTACAGAATTTGGGATTGAGCATCAGATGGCTAATGTTAAAACTCCTCAATAGAATGGTCATTCTGAGAGAAAGAATCGCCACATCCTTGACTTAGCCAGAGCAATCAGCATTGGCATGAATGTTACCCAGTCATTTTGGGGAGATGCAGTTCTTACAGTTGTTTACATCATTAATAGGACTCCTTCTAGGGTTCTTAACTTTGCAGCCCCACTCTCAATCTTACATCCCAATTCATCTCTTTTTTTTATTCTTCCGTGAGTCTTCGGGTGTGTGTGCTTTGTTCAGCAGTTGGGGCAGACTCATACAAAGATTCACCCCAAGGCTTTGAAATGTGTGTTTTTGGGCTATTCTCACTCTCAAAAAGGTTATAGGTGTTACCATTCTCCTAGTCGTCGGCGGTTTATATCCATGGATGTTTCTTTCTTTGAGCATACACCATACTATAGTGGTTCAATTGGTTCTCAAAGTAAATGGTTCCCATTGAACACAATTGATGATCACCTTCTTCCGTCATCAACTCCTCTTCCTTTGCCTATTTCATCTTCAATTATTCCTCCTCCTAATATCACTCCAGCAAGGGGAATTGTTCCTTTTCCACATGTTTATAGTCGGAGACAACAGGTACAAGCTTTTACTCCCATGATCGACTGTCTTGTTCCTTCGGCACCATCTCGGCCTTCTCAAGCTATTGTTTCGCTTGATGATCACCCCATTTCTCTTCGGAAGGGTAAACGTTCTTGTACTTACCATATTTCTAATTTTGTTTCTAATTGTGCTCTCTCACCCTCCTATTGGAGTTTTCTAGTTTATGTTGCCTATGTTCCTCTTCCTTCTAGTGTTGCAGATACACTAACATAACTTCAATGGCGTGATGCTATGACAGAAGAACTACAAGCACCCGAGAAAAATCAGACTTAGGACATAGTTCCGCTTCCTATTGGACGAAAGGTTGTGGGTTGTCGTTGGGTGTTTATAGTTAACCATAATCCAGACGGGTCAGTTGCTCGTTACAAGTTTGGTTGGTTGCCAAGAGTTATGCTCAGACTTATAGCATAGATTATCAGGAGACTTTTGCCCCTGTTGCCAAGATGAATACCATCCGTGCATTATTTTCTGTTGTTGCGATTCGATCTTGGCCTCTATTTCAGTTAGACGTCAAGAATGTCTTTCTCAATGGTGATTTGTAGGAGGAGGTGTACATGGTTCCTTCTCCGGGCTTTCATTCTCCTACTCATTTTAGTATGGTATGTCGTTTTCGTCGTTCTCTGTATGGCCTTAAGTAGTCTCCTCGAGCGTGGTCTGATCGCTTTGGCACTGCCATGCTCAAGTTTGGTTTCCATCAAAGTACAGCTGATCATACCTTGTTTTTACGTAATTCAGGCGGTAAGACAGTTGCTCTCATTGTGTATGTCGATGTTATTGTTCTTACCTGCGATGATACTACCGGAATTGCTGAGGGTAAGAGCTATCTTGGCATTCAGTTTGAGATTAAGGATCTTGGTCCCCTATGATACTTCTTAGGCATTGAGATGGCTCGCTCCAAGGCTGGCATTTTCAACTCTCAACGCAAGTATGTTCTTGACTTGCTTTCTGCTTTTGAGCTTGGCACTCATCCTGCTGATACTCCGATTGAGCAGAATCATCGGTTGGCTGATTCTGAGGGGGAGTTGTTGTTAGACGTTGGTCAGTATCAACAACTTGTGGGGAAGCTCATCTATTTATCTATAACTCGACCTGACATTGCTTATGCTGTTAGTGTCGTGAGTCAATTCATGCACTCTCCTCGTGTCCCTCACCTTGATGCAGCTATTCGGATCCTTCGCTACTTAAAAAGGTGTCCAAGCCGTGGTATTTTGTTTGCCAATCATGGTCACTTACATGTTTAGGCTTGGACAAATGCTCATTATGCAAGATCAATTTCAGATAGGAGGTCAACTTCTAGTTATTGTACCACTACTGGTGGTAACTTGGTTACTTGGCGCAGTAAGAAGTAGGATGTTGTCTCTCGATCTAGTGTAGAGGTAGAGTATAGCTATAGCTCTTGGGCTATGTGAGTTGTGGTATGGCTGAAAACCTTGATGACAGACTTGTGCCTTCCAGTGTCGCTTCCATTCTCACTTTACTGCAACAAGAAGTTTGCCATTAGCATAACAGCAAATCCCGTTCAGGATGATAGGACAAAGCATATAGAGGTGGACCATCACTTCATTCGAGAGAAGATCATCTCTGGTCAAATTTGCACTCCATTTGTCACAAGCTCTCAGCAGCTTACAGACATTCTTACAAAGTGCGTCAGCAAGATTGTGTTTGAGAATGCATTGTCCAAGTTGGGCGTTTCAGATATTCACGCACCAACTTGAGGGGGAGTGTTAACATATATGATACTACGATTTATGGAATGACTTACCATAATAGCAAAGATTTGACTATGCTATAGAATATGCTTTAGAATAGGTTGCGATTTGATTTAGTTTCTTTTCTTGTAATATGAGCATGTGCATTTTTTAATAATAAATACTAGAGTTATGAATGACTAATTCATCTTATTCAAGCCTTTACACAATTCTCTCTTTTTTCTTCTTTTTATATTTCTACTTGTTAGCATATATGAAACCACTAAGTGTATGTGAGAAGGAACTTTTATTCAAAAGAATAAACAAATAAGAAAGCCCAAGAGGGAGTGCTACCAAGAGAATACACAAAAATCCACAAGGGGCCAACTATAGCTTCAAGCTATCAACAAAATCCACAATATTCCCCAAAGATTTACAATTCCACCCATTTACCCAAAAGAATAGAGAACTAAGAATGATGAACTTAAGCGACCAAATCGGAGTCTCTTCTCCATCAAAGGATTTCCTATTCTCGTGCCACAAGCCCCACCATGAACAAAGGGGAGTGGCCGTCCAAGCATCTCTGCTATCCACTATTCACCCTTCAATTTAAAGATGTGATACATTTGATACCTGAAAATATAGCCACACCCGACACACATACCTGACTCAAGGTGACATAGACCCAAGCAACATCCATCATAAATCAAGTAACTTGAGACAGGAAGGTGTTGACCACTTTTCTTTTAAGCATTTGACATGCAATGTGAGACTTAATTGAAGGAACCATAACTCTCAAGTTTCTTATAGCATGAAAATCAGCTTAGCTAAAACTTAAAATTCTTGAGACAAACAAACCATAATTTAATGCAAGTACAAATGGAATTTTTAAAACTTTAAAACCTTTCATTCATCTCAATCACTTTGCAACATTGACGATTCAAAGGGGGGTCAATTTCCAGGGAAATGCGAGAGAGTGACAAACGAATCAAACATAAGGATTTATATCAAACTTCCAAAAATATCATCATCATCACCATTATCATCCTTGAATCTATCCCACATTAAAGGGGTAGGCCACATGAATTCCCTTTTTCCGTTCTTTCTTATCATTTACCACGTCTTCTCTTCGATATAAATTTTTAAAGTCAATTTTTATCATTTCATCCCATGTAAGTTTTGTTCATCCTCTTTGTTGCTTACCTTCTAGATAAACTACTTTTCCTCTTTTAACAGGTGCATCATCAGGTCCATGCTAAATATGGCCATACCGGCTAAGTCTACTTTCTATATTTTAATCATTTATAGGTGTTGTACCTAGTGTTCCCCACACACATTCATTATAAATCTTATCTCTTCTAGTTATTCCTATCATCCAACCGATTCCAACGTACCATCCTCAAGCTTTCAACAATGCCCCAGGAAATTCTAGGTCTCACAACTTGAGCTGGGGCATTAATTAACTTAAGAGTGAACTGGGGATTAGAAAAGCATAAACAAAAAATAGCATTCTGAGTCACCTGAATGATGTTATTCATTGCATATATACAAAAATATTTTCATTCTTTGTTGTTCATTTATATAAATATATATATATTTGACACACTATCTATTGACATATTTAGTATTTTTCGGGGAGGAAAACTACAAAAAATATGCGATGTTGTGGCCCGAATTCAGTTCTGGATCATGTTGTGACTGGGTTTCAACCCAACATACCGATGAAAAGTTTTGACCCGTTTTTGCTTGCGGGTCGTGGACCTATTTAGTACTCTCTTGTAGCCAGGTATATAAGGGCACTTGGGGTTTGGAGTGGGATAATGGGACACTGAAATTGCAGAAAAGAGGGTGAGCAAGAACTAGGGTTTGGAGCTGAAACTTATAATCTCCTCAATTTTCGCATAGTAAAACCTTTTGTCAACTGTGGACATAGACACAACTTGTGTCGAACAACGCTAAATCTTTGTGTCTTGTGTGGTGCATGTTTTTGTCATGTTTTGTGATTGTTTCTTGGTTCACGGTTGTTTGTGGTAACAAAATATTTAGACAACATGAGAAGTTTCACCCATGACTAAGTGACAAATCTCACTGTATTTAAAGCAAATGAAATAAAAGGGGGGAAAAGAAGAAAACTGAAAAAAATTCTCAGGTAAGAAAATACCGGAAGTCTATGATCAGTTTCAGAGATGAGCATTTCATCCACCAGCCTCAGAAGGTATAATGTATTGTCTCGACATGGCTGCGAGACAAAAATATTGTCCTCCAGAGATAAGTCTACAAGCTTCCGAATTAAGTCCTCATATATATCACGAAGCAGGTATCGAAATGAGTTGCCACCCTGCAAAAACAAAAACTTGCTGAAACAAATTTGACCAAGTACAAATCAAAATACACAAATGATTATGTTATACCAGAGGAGGATTGAAACATACTTGTTCACATTGCATAAGAAGAAAATTCACTGTCTCTTCTAAATGTTGCCAGCCACCTTTTACCGAATGCATATGGTAACAAAGAACAACACAGAATAAATTCCTCACAAAATTTTGCTCACTCATCTCATTGTCACCATGAACTTGTGACTCCACTTTGTAGTTTTTCAACACATCAAGTCTCGCAGTAGCCATTAACCAGGCATTCCATCCATTTTCCTGTTTGATATATTCAAGTTAATAGAGGACATTTGCTTAGCAAAGAAATTGTTAAGTACAATCGCCAAAATTTACCATTAAAGCTTCAATATTTGAAGGATTTGAATCAAGAAGTTCAAGTAAGTCTCTAATTATTTTCATTCTTGCTGAGGCGTCCTCACAGCCAGACAAGAATCTGAAAATGAGAATCAAGATCTGAGGAAGAAAGAACTGGGAATTAATTCCCCCACTTCTCTGTCTGTCAAGCTGGTAATGTTTCTGCAAGACCTGCAGACAACAATTTGAAAATTGTTACTTCAATGATAACTTAAACAGATTTTAAATAAATCAATGAATGACTGAACTGTTACACAGTAGAGTGACAATACAGCAAGCCAGTAAAGAAAACTCAAGAGTTAACAGATGAAAATTGGAAGCAAAACTCATATATTATACACACACCTGTTTAGGGCTAGCACCACCAAGAAGGACGTCAAACAAGGTGGCACATAGCAGATCTGTCTGCTGAAATCTAAACAGCCTATCAGAAATGGCAGAAAAAATTGGTTGCATCCTTGTACTGATTTTTCTATGACCTTCTGAGAGGGATTTGGATCTTCCAACTGCAATATTAAAAAATTTTGATCCCTTCTTCTCAGATGGAAGACCAACCAAAAGTCTTCCCAGGAACTGCAAGCTAAGCAATCTGATGGGCTCAAAATCCCTATGATAAATTAGCAAGAGAAAAAATTAGTATCATAGAAGATTCGGCATGGTTGAAGCTTTAATAAAAACAATACTTTTGCAGCCACCAAGCATAGCATCATACATAAGCAGAGAAAGTCGAAATTTCAAATCTAGATCAAGCACTTTTAAGTTTCAAAACACAGCATATGATTTATTACCACTCGAAATAAAAAATCTCTCTTAAGAAACTTGTTAGCATACATGATATCCACGATTTATGGAATGACTTACCATAATAGCAAAGATTTGATTATGCTATAGAATATGCTTTAGAATATGTTGTGATTTGATTTAGTTTTCTTTCTTATAATATGAACATGTGCTCTTTTTATCAATAAATACTAGAGCTGTGAATGAGTGATTCATCTCATTCAAGCCTTTACACAATTCTCTCATTTTTCTTCTTTTTATATTTCTACTTGGTATCAAAGCCAACACCTTCCCACACCATTCAGCAGCCTTGCTACTTGTGCGACAGCCACCATAGGCTGTTTGTGACATTATATGACGTTGCTTACACATGTTTTTCTGTGTTGCTGTTTAGTGTATAGTTGTTAAAGGCACCGGAGGCGCAAGGCACCTACAGGCACCAGTGTGTCGCCTGGATAGGCTTAAGGCACTTGGGTTGAACAGGGCGCGCGCCTTTGTAGAACAGGCGCAGAACAGGCGCACCTGATTGAAAAGGCATTTTTTTTAATTGTTTTGTTATTATTACTTTTTTATATTGTTTATTATTACTTTTTTATTTGTTTATAAACTTTACAAAACTTATAAATTACAAAAAAAAAAAAAAGAGAAAGAAAATGAAATGGGAAAAGAAGCAAAAGGAAAGAAGAGACCGAGGCTGGGCAGCGAAGGCGAAGGCATCTCGGATCTACAAAGCAATCTGCCAGATCTCTCAGTCTCGGATCTGCTGACTTCTCTCACGACTCACGGTAAGTTCTTCTCTTCTTTTCTCTCCTCCTCCTCTTCTTCTTCTTCTTCTTCTTCTTCTTCTTCTTTTTTTTTTTTTTTTTTTTTTTTCTCTCCTCTCGGCTCTCTCGAGTCTGGCAGAATTCTTTTCTTTTCTCTTTCTTCTTTTCTGTCTCTTTTTTGGTTCTTTAATTCCATAATTGGCGGCCAGGGAAAATAGTTTTCCTAAAAGGCCCTTCTTTAATTACATATATTTATACCACATAATATGAACAAATGAAAAAATTAAAATTAAAAAAATACATTGCAAAGAAGATACTTGCACGGACTTTCCTGTAAAATCATATATTATAATCAAATACATTGATAGTCCTTTTTTTGAATAAATAGTGCTATGATTAGAGTGCTCTTATCTATTGGACTTAAAATTATTCCCCAAAAGCAAGTGCATAGAGATGTTGTTTCACCACTCAGAACAGAGGGAGACACAATTATTTTCTTTAACAGAAGGCAAATATTCAAACAACTTTTATCATGATATATGTGAAAGATGTTCTCACACTTCCTTCATGGAGGACCTACTCAAAGTTATCTGAATCTAAATTTTTGTTTGGCTTCTCTGGAAAATACTAAAGCAATAAATATATGTTTATTTAAGACTTATTGATATGTGATATATTTTAGGCGTCATGTTTTTTTATTAAAACTTGCATATACATACTTAGAATAAATTATAGAATAAGGTATCATGCCTGGTTCACTTAGCCAATCGTGATTGCAGGTTTGGTCCACAAAACACACTGAAATTAACAATCACTCACTCCTATTATGACTCAATGCAGTCAAAATTAATGTGGATACATGATGATACCTTAAGCTTTATCACTGTAATATTGAACTTAATTAATTCGTTTAGTTGACTTTTGCATCTTTATATATATTATTGCATCTTTAATACTTTATTGGGTGAGTTTTATTTTATTTTTTTTCAACGTGCGCCTTGCTTCAGTCGGGCGCGCGCCTTGCCTTGCGCCTCAGGCTCCAGGAGGCATTTGCGCTTTTGTGCGCCTTGAGCCTTTAACAACTATGCTTTAGTGATCGTAAACAGGTATTTTTAAGTTTTACAATTTTTTTTTTACTCTTCTAGGGTTGGGTAAATTGGGATGGTTGGGTGTTTATAGTTAAGCATAATCCAGATGGGTCAGTTGCTCGTTACAAGGCCCGGTTGGTTGCCAAGGGTTATGCTAAGACTTATGGCATAGATTATCAGGAGACTTTTGCCCCTGTTGCCAAGATGAATACCATCCGTGTATTAATTTCCGTTGCTGCAATTCGATCTTGACCTCTATTTCAGTTAGATGTCAAGAATGCCTTTCTCAATGGTGATTTCTAGGAGGAGGTGTACATGGTTCCTCCTTTGGGCTTTCGTTCTCCTGCTTATTCTGGTATGGTATGTCGTCTTCGTCGTTCTCTGTATGGCCTCAAGTAGTCACCTCGAGCTTGGTCTGATCTCTTTGGCACTGCCATGCTCAAGTTTGGTTTCCATCAAAGTGCAGCTGATCATACCTTATTTTTACGTCATTCAGGCGGTAAGATAGTTGTTCTCATTGTGTATGTCGATGATATTGTTCTTACCGGCGATGATACTACCGGAATTGTGGAGGTTAAGAGCTATCTTGGCCGTCAGTTTGAGATTAAGGATCTTGGTCCCCTACGGTACTTCTTGGGCATTGAGGTGGCTCGCTCCAAGGCTGGCAATTTCATCTCTCAACGCAAGTATGTTCTTGACTTGCTTTCTGCTTCTGGTCAGCTTAGCGCTCGTCCAGCTAATACTCCGATTGAGCAGAATCATCGGTTGGCTGATTCTGAGGGGGATTTGTTGTCAGATGTTGGTCAGTATCAACGATTTGTGGGGCAACTCATCTACTTATCCATCACTTGACCTGACATTGCTTATGCCGCGAGTGTCGTGAGTCAATTCATGCATTCTTCTCATACCCCTCACCTTGATGAAGCTATTCGGATCCTTCGCTACTTAAAAGGGTGTCCGGGCAATGGTATTTTGTTTGGCAATCATGGTGACTTACGTGTTGAGGCTTGGACAGATGTTGATTATGCAGGATCAGTTTCAGATAGGAGTTTAACTTCGGGTTATTGTACCACTATTGGTGGTAACTTGGTTACTTGGCGCAATAAGAAGCAGAATGTTTCTTTTTTAATAAGTAAGAATGAATTAAAAAAGGCGTTCAATAGGGGAACGCGTCCCATAAACATTAGAGAAACCGGGGTCCAAGGCCCCAAAGAATCCAAAAAAGTAATTAAGTCATCAGAAGAGGAACAAGAACTCTTCTTCACATAACTAAAGAGAGAACAAATAATAAAAAGTTTCAGTGTCGCTATAGACGACTCTTTCCCTTCAAACATTCGACTATTTATCTCCTTCCAGATGCACCACCAAACACAATGTGGAACAGATCTCCAATAATCACGAACAGTCCTACTCACACGACAACCTCTCCAGGCATGAATCAATTCTTTAGTAGAACGTGGCATTACCCAACACATGCCAAACAGGCCAAGAATAAGATTCTAGCAATCGTGCGCTACAGAGCAATGCATTAGGAGATGATCAACTGACTCCCCATCCTGCTTGCATAGGCAACACCAATTAACAAAACAATTTCCCCTTTTCCTCAAATTATTGATCGTCAGAATCTTACCCAAACAGCGGTCCATACAAAGAATGCCACCCTAGTAGGAGCCATAGAGCGTTATATGGTCTTCCATGGGAAATCATAGGATACAAAATTAAACAAACATACGAACAGGGATCTTACTTCAAAGCGATCGTGAGAAGAGGGAATCCATGTCAAATTGTCATAACCCCTGCCAATTCCTTCCTACCGATACAATTGGTCCAAGAAAATGCTCCTCTTCCAAGTCCATTCTAAAATGAATGCCGAAAATGACATTCCACGTAATCCCACTATTATCAAGCTGATAACAGTCAGCTACGATGGCATGTTTATCAATTGCAATACTGTGTAGTCTGGGAAATGTACGACATAAAGGCTGATCCCCACACCAAAGATTTTCCCAAAAACGAATGCAACTACCATCACGAACTCTGAATCTGATATGAGAGGAAAAGGCATCCCATTCCTTCCGAATGGATTTCCAAGCCCCGACTCCTCCCGCAATAGAAACCGGACCTATAGTCCATCCGCCGACGTCTTCCCCATACTGACAAGACACTAATCTACACCAAGGGCGGTGTCTTTCCTTCTCGTATCACAACCATTTGCCTTGAAGAGCTTGATTAAAAGGAATCAATCGTCCAATACCAAGACCACCCAACTTTATAGGCTTGCATACTTGCTCCCACCTAACAAGGTGATACTTGAACTCTTCTCCCCTTTCGCCCCAAAGGAAGTTCCTTTGAATTTTTTCAATTTTATCAGCAATAGAGCATAGAATTTGGAATATAGAAAGAAAATATATGGGAAGGCTTGATAAAGTGCTCTTGATAAGAGTTACTTTGGCCCCCTTAGAAAAATATTGCTTCTTCCATCCTCCCAACCTCTTTACATACCTGTCAATCACATAGTCCAACTCCCCACAATCCTGGAAGAGGCCCCTAGGGGCAAACCTAAATAAGGAATAGGAAAGGAACTCACCCTACACCCAAGAACTGCAGCTAAAGAAGAGATGTCCTGAACATTCCCAACCGGGACAAGCACACTCTTAGCTACGTTTACCTTTAGCTCGGAAACTGCCTGAAAGCAAGCCAGGATGCACCTCAGATATCTAAGTTGAGACACATCTGCATCATAGAAAATCAGAGTGTCATTTGCAAATAGCAAATGAGAAATCTTCACCTGATGGTCAGTATCTCTTCCCACCCGGAATCCCTTAATGATACCAAGATCCTCTGCCCTGTGCATAAGTCTACTTAAGCCCTCCATAACAATAAGAAAAAGAAAAGATGACAATGGATTACCTTGTCTTATACCCCAAGTGCACCCGAAAAAGCCAGTAGGAGAACCATTCACAAGAATTGAGAAT